TCCTATAACCAGAATGTACAAGACTTTCTAATTGGTGCTGAAAGTAAAACAAATACTGAGTTTGCTCAATTTGAAGTTAGTATCATAGTTGACTTAGCATACTATATAATGTAATTTGAAAAAGTAGTTTACGGTATCAAGTATATTCACAAAGCTGTCTTTACAAAATAGGGCTATTAGCTATCCAATTTCTCCCTGGTGCTGCCAAATTTAAGTACCATAAGGAAGTAGAGTGTTCTGTAAATTAACTGGCAAACATGAGACAAGAAACAAGGAAGAACTTCTAAAACTCTCCAAATAACTTTTCTAGCTCAGACTATCTTTGGGTATTCTGGAAACATAATACTGGCTGTTGCTGTGTCTTCCAAAGTCCTTCTTTGAGTCAAAAATTCATTGGAGTCCTGGCCGGAGCCCTCCCTCCAGCTGTGACTATGTAATAATGTACAAAGAAGTGGTTGGTGTTTTAAGACTGTGTGGGTCTGCAATTTCTGTACATTTGCAATTAGAAATATTAAAGATTTATTTAGCTATTTAAATTCATTTTAGATCATTATTACTTTATTAGGGATATTTACAAAATGAAAAGTGTATTGAATGAGTGCCTATAAAATACTAGGCATCTAGTATTGTATGGAAACATAAGAAATAGGATCTAGTTTAGTGGTTCATTTATTATTCTTTTGCTGGGTTTCAGTGACTCTTCACAATCTTAATTTTATTTACTGCTCTTCCCTCTCAGTCTCCTTTGAATGCTCTCCTTTCTGTATACATCCTTCATTGATGGTCTCCAGTCTATGACTTTCAATGTTAGCTGGCAATTCCTAAATCCATTTTTCCATTCCGTACATGTCTCCTGAGTTACAGACCCTAGAAACCAACTTCCTACCGAAATCTCTTCACAGATGTCTAAAACATGGATTTTTGTTTGCCCTAGCAAATCTGTTCCTCCTACCACATTTCCTGTCTAAAGTGCTAGAAATACCATCCTTTCATTTACTCAAACCAAAACACCTTGGAGTCCCCACCTTATCTAATGTGCAGGAAAACCACTTTGGCTCTATTTTTAAAATATATATAGAATTCAATCACTTTGTACCACCTCCTCTGATACTATTCTCTTCTGAGTCACTAGAATGTTTCTTTAAAATGTTCAATCAGATTCTGTTGCTCTTTTCAGAACAATAATTCTGTTTTTTCAAGGTAAGAAATCAAAGTTTTGTGAGAAGTGATAGGTTAACAACATTTGTAAAGATCATCTGTCTTCTTTACTACTATGTAAACTTTGTGAAGGCAGGATTCTTGGTCTGAATTTATGTACTATTTCCTACAGTGTTTCCCAAGCTCACCACTTCCAGGGGCATGTAGTAGGTGTTCAATTAATATTTTTCAAATTTGAATTCACACCTTCATTAAATATTTTATTGAGCTCATAGAATATGTTTGATCAGTTCTTGTGGTCTCTGTCTTCATGAAGCTGTCAGGAAGTAGATTCCCGTTCTCAGAGACAGTGATTCACTTTGTGTCTGTGTATTCCAAACGTGTTTTTTTTTAAAGATTTATTTATTCATACAGAACTGGGGTACAGGCAAGAGATGCGGAGGGTGAGAGGATTCACCAGGAACAGAGTGGGGAGCAGAACAGGCAGATTGATGAAGTAGACTGCTGAGGGGAGCAGTGGGCAGGTCAGGAGAGGTGCCATGTGGATCTCTTCTGTGGGCAGGCGGGGATCGAACTCATGCGAAGTGGCTTAAGCTTCTTAGTGCAGTGCTTTAACCCACTGCAGGGAGGGCCCAAACATCTGTGTTTTTTAAAAAACAATTTGATGACTGTTGTATATTAAACATTTGTTCTCTGCCTCCCTACCTCATTGTAGAAATAGATTTATTCACAAGAATATATCATTAGGAAATTCAAAGTAATTTGATCTCTGAAGGTTGGAAGATTGCTAAGCAGGAAATATTAGAGAAAGAGAAAATAAAAACTCTAGTAAGTTTATATTTCGCAGTTCCTCTTTAATATTGTATAAGCTTTTCCCTCATATTAAATAATGCCAGTTTATATCTCAGATCTAATGATTTAGTGAGTTTGACTGTTGTTTCCATATATGGCTCCTTATGGCTACTTTCACATAATTTACCCCATCATGGCTGGCAGGAAGAGGTAGAATTCAGGAGGCTTAAGTTATATTCCTTCCAAATAGTGTCCTTCACTGAGCTGGTAGTCTGACTGAAGCACAAGTTCTTTTTCTTTAAAGTGACATTTATACTAAATTAAATTAAGTTCTCTCCATCTCCAGTATACTGAGATTTCATTTTCTATAGCAGTTATAACTCATAGTAATGGTAAAAAATAATACATTTTGATATGGTTTTGAAGGCTAAATTAGATAGAAATTGTTGGTGTTGCAAGATTGATGTTTTAAACAGTGGACCTTTATTTATAGTATACTTCAGTTTCAGTTGTATTCTGGTTCTTAATCAGTTTGATGAGTCAATATGATTCTTTGGCAAGTTCGATCAAGAGAGAAACTGTATTTTTTATTATATTTCAGAACAATCATGGAACAGATACTTTCACAATGATTCACAGTGATTCTCACAATGATTTCTCAGTGATTGTTTTTCCCCTACTGTAAGGGTATGGCAGATTCCTTAAAGTCACTTAACATAGCCTACTATGAGAGTATGGGCTAATTATCAGAGTCTCTGTGGAAGAACAGGGATGTGGATGTGAGGTAGCTCTATCTATAATTTGGAAGCTAAATGATTCTGATATCGACCATCACAGTACTTTCCACCACTCTCCAACGTCACTGTTCTGAAGATTAAATAGAATACCTATATTATACTACATTAACTAATTCAAGATTATGAATTCATCTGCATTAAAAACTAAAGAACTATTTTATTTAGGTGCAAACGCTCTTCATGCATTGCATTTAATACTACTTGAAATTCAGAACATAACTTTGTCTACCATTCTGAATATCATGAAAGGAAGAATAAGTGACAAATAACATTGTTCATGTAAATTCTATTCTAAAAAAAGATAAATCTATTTCAGATAAATTTTTGAAGTCTAAATAAAGCTAGCTTGTAACTGCTGTATAGATGAGTCATGTTAGTTTACAAGTAGATAGTGTGTCTTTTAAAACCACATGTTCTTTAGTTCTTGCTCCAACTAGGAAAGTTGAGGAAATATACAGCAAATATTTTTAAGATTATTTTTCAGGCACAGGATCACCATCAATTCAAGTAAGGGGAAGGTATCTGCCTTTTCTTCCTCTGCTCTCCCATTTAATTCCAATAAATGTGGGCTCTGGAATCACACTTTGGAAAACGCCTATTTACATAGTAGCACAAGAATGGCAGTCAGCGATCTGTCATGAATCTAGTTTTATTATAGAACCTTGCTTTGCATGCTATTGTTTAATTTCTGCTTTGAGAATGTGTACAAGATGAGCTTTCTGAAAGTCAGGATGTAAAAAGAGTTCTGTATGTTTGAGGATGGTATAATAAAGAGCAAAATTCATAAGGAATCATGAGACTGGATTTTTAGTGCCAGCTCTGACACTCTATAATCTAACAACTGGATAAGTTACATGTCTCTGAATCTTTATTCATTTTTAGAAGACAATTAATACTGTATTAAGTGTGTCCTATCTAACTAGGATGTAAGGCGTATGAAATCACAAACTTCGTTTTTTGTTTACTGCTATAATCTAGCATATGTAGGAACTCAGTAAGTAATTAGTTCTCAATTCATTATATGGATGAACTGCATTTTTTAAAAAAATTTAATAAATTCTGGGAAAAAAATTAAAAGGTAGGCACTAGAAGGGCAAAGAAAGAATGCAAAAATACAGAAATTGGATTTGTTAACCCTTTAAGGTGTGTTCATGTTTGGTCAGCTGGAAATTGAGATAATAATAATCCATAGTTTAGTGTCTGTGTTTATGGTAAAGAAAACATGAAATATGTGCGCAAAATAGGAAAATGGGATTAGCCTGAAAATACATCTGCATGGACACATGGGCACATACACGCAATGGAAGTGACTGGACGCAAGTTGGAAAGGGTAGTGTGAGGTGGTCAGAAGCATAGGGTGAGGGGGCATAGATGCAGCTATTATGTATGCAGTCATCTTTGTCAGTGCCTGTTTTAATTCTGTAGTTGATAAAAGGAGAGAACCAAAAGTTAGATTGGAATAGAAAGAAGATCAGACTGTGTTTAAACAAAATGAAATGAACAATAGACCTAGGTCTGCTATGAATGCTACTTAATTTGTGTGATGGCTTAGTATGTATCATTGTCAGTTGTTTTGTTGTTGTTGTTTAAGACTGGAGACCAGCCAGTTAATGTAAGATTTTCACAATTGAGGAGCTGGAGAGTGCTTTTAACCAAATCATTTTTATACTGTTGCATAACAGCAGGATTATGCTTGAAAGTCATCCACTAATAAATGAAGAATGGTTTCCGATGCTCTGAAAGGCAGTGTGGGCTTTTATAGCCATTTTTAGAGTTCCTTTTTTATCATCCCTTTTTTAAACTGTGCATACTGATATGTTTCACGTACTGCCTTTTCTATTTAAGTTACAAGTTTAAATTTGCTTGTCTCTAAGAGGGAGGATTGTAATGCCACATCCAAGGGATCTCTCTTGAGGGTGGGTGAACCTTCTGGCATTGTTGGAAAAGTTTTGTATGTAAAGTACCTGCAGGGGGTTGGGGGTGGGGGTGGGGGTCCTTGTTCTTTAAAAGGGTTCAAAACCAAAATAAGCCCCCCTAAGAACAGTCTTTAGTTCATTCACCCAAGTAATTATTTTCTTTAAGACTATTCTAGGGACTGAAGTATGTGGTTAAAGTATCTGAAGGCCATCATTATATATTTTTTAAGATAAGACCTATCACATTAAAACAACAACAAAAAACCCTTTCTGAAATCAGAAGAGAAACATCCTGAGTCTTGGTATGCATGTTTTACCACATGGTGTGTTTGTGCAGGTCCGGTTCCCATCTCACTTCAGTTCAGATCTCAAGGACCTTCTAAGAAACCTATTGCAGGTGGATTTGACGAAGCGGTTTGGAAATCTAAAGAATGGAGTGAGTGATATAAAAACTCACAAGTGGTTTGCCACCACAGATTGGATTGCTATTTACCAGAGGAAGGTGAGTCTTTTGGTTAAAACCTTTTAAAAAGTAAGTGTCTAATCCATGGCCATCCCATCCCAAATGCACCAAATCTCATCTGATCTCAGAAAAGTAGATATTTTAAATGATATGTAATAGGTATATTCAATCTAACATGACTTTTTTCACTTTTTGAATCAATCTTATGTGCTACCTAAAGGACCTTTATATCCCTTAAAAATGACTTTTTTAGGAAAAATACCGGATGGTTTCACTCATAGCAGGAGTATAACGGACCAGGCGAGAAAATAATAGTAATAATGAGCAGCTATATACCAGAGACATTTTATGGGGTGGAGTGGGAAGTGGGTCAAAAACAGTGGGAGGAAGGAAATACACTTGTCTATGGTGATGAGAAGCCCACGGGGATTACAACTGAGATGGAAAAATGCACAAAATTATGTGAAAATAAACTCATTTAAAAAAATGACGTTTCTCCTTGATGAAAAGTAAACATATATTCCATTTCAGCCATCAATCTGAAATGTTTTACTTATTAAATTTTTCCCACTCTTGCCTTTTACTCTTCACAGTACCGTGGCTGTTATTTATTAGACAAGTTTCTAAGGGTTGGCACTTCAAACCTGATAGGAAGTCACATTAAAAGACAACATGGAACAAACATATTCTCTTATCCAGAATTTTACACTGCAAGATATAACATTTAGTTGCTAGAATCATTAAATATTTCTCAGTATTTACTTCTCCGTGGCATTTATTAGAAGCACAAATGTTTCTTGTAGTCCCCCAGGCCAGGCTTTTCCTTATTGTAAGCCTTTGTGGGCTTTCCCCTTTGCTCCAAGTGACTCTCCTAGCTTATGCATCTGCCTTATTATTACTAGTAGAATATTTAGCTTAAGTATGGTATTTTCTCAGATGGGTTTTCTTCCTTAATACCTTATATACTTACTATATTGTTTTCAAATATTTCATTGAGAGCAAGGAGCTTATCTTACTCATTTATTTCCCTTACCATCTGGCAAGATCCTGTGATAGAGCATGTTACTAATGTTTGTTGAATTGCTCACTCTAGACATTGGTCTTTCTTCAGCTATAATTTCCATTTTTCCATTTGAAAGCTAACTTGCACATAAAAAATAGAAATAGAAGATTTTAACTAATGCTTTTTGGAAAGTCATAAATGATCTGAATTGCTACATTTTTTTTCTTTTAACATTTATGAATGTAATCATTCCCTGAGTAATTATTAGATGCCTACTTGTATGCTAGATACTTTGCAAAGTGTTGAGGGTACAGTGATAAATAAAACAACCTTTGTCCCTTCTGAAATGAAGCTTTATAGATTCAGAGGCTAAGGAGATAGGCATTAACCAAATCTTCTTGTAAATAAACATGAAGATACTACTGGGGAAAATGTGGGGATACAAAAATAATAGCTTCACACTTTTGTTTTCTATTGCCAATTCAGTATCTCATTAAAAAATTAGTGTTAGAAAGTGAGATAAACTGAAAACTTGAATGTAAATACAAATTTAATCTCTAGTATTAGTTTACCATCATAACAAACTCCAGCTGAACAGTAACTTATCGAAAAGAAACTAGCTGTTTATTCTCCAAGTTGCCAATGTCATAGTTGTGGAATAGTACTATATTACATAATATTAGTTTTAAATAATGGGTATAGCAACTGTAAAAATAAGTAATTAAAAAAATGATGTAAATAAATTAGAAAAATAGTAATCATTTCAACTTTGTAACAAATTGAGACATTGATTTTCATTGTCCAGTTAAGAAAAATGTGTCAATAGTATTTAATGTATATTTAATAACTTAAATAACTAATTAAATATGACTATGTGATTGTATACATATGTATGTATATATATATATATACACACACACACACATAAATATGACATAGCTTAACTTTTTTATAAAACCAGCACTTCTAAGGTTCTAGAGATTTGCCATATTCCCTAGTGCTGTACAGTCACACAAGAGTGAATTTCCTTAGCGGGAAAAATCTAAATGTGCCAAGAATTATCAGTATAATTTTCCTAATTTATATTTTGTAAAAAATTACAAAAACAAAACATTAAAAAAAATTTAAATGCAGCAAATAAAAAATATGTAATAAAGCCTCTACAGCTTACAAGAAGTACTTGAATTGCCTACACATTCAATTCATGAAACATAGCTTTAGCATCATTATCTCAACTGATGTGTTATGTAATTAAGAATAAGGTACATAATATTTAAAATAATATGAGATCTTGGATCTCATAAGTAAATTTTCCTATTTTTCTATATTTGCTGGAACTACTTTGTAATTGATAAAAAGCAACTCTGAAACTTCTCATTTTATGTTCGAAAAATTCTTTGGGTGTGCTGACACCATTTTCCCCATTTTAATGATAGCAAAATCAGCTCAGAAAGCAACTACTTTAAACATAATCATACAGCTGATAACCTACACCTGTATTTGCCCCATATTCTTTAAATTCTTGTTCCAGGATCATTCACTGCTTTAAAGATTTTTGATATGGTTATGGTAAACTCCAAACTGCTGAATATACGTTATTTCATAAGATTTTTAAACATTAAGAATACTTAGACTTTGTGCATTTTTGTAATGTAAAGACTCTGCCTCAAAAGTCAAAAACATAGCAGGAGCTGAACTCTGAGGTTAGATAGATATTGATTTGAATCTCAGGTCAAACAAACACAGTGTAATATTGAGCACATTATCTATCCTCTACAAAATATTAGATTTCTTATTCTTAAAATTTGTATTGTAAATACAAAAAAGATTAGATTGGACCAGGTTCTAGTTTTCTTTTTGGTCAAGGTATGTTTCATATATAATCAGGTAATTTAAGTAAATATATTTGCCACCATCATAATCCCACCATCCACACAAATCTGTCAACATCTGGCACCTTCATGCTTTCCCTCTGTGGTCTCCATCACTGTAGTCTTCTCCCAAGATCTCAGAAAGCACCTGAGTTCTGCCTCTTCCCATCCTGCCTTTGCCTGCAACTTCAGACTGTTCTACCATGATTACTACCTACTGCATTATTCTGTTTAGGCAAATTATTTAAGCTGTATTTTCTTACTGTTTTTATTTCTTGATGCTGTTCAGTTAGACTCTCAACATTTGTTGAATAAGCCAGACTCTTTTATTTGAAATACTGCCTTTACTAACACTAAATTATTGTATACTTCAGCCTGTTTTTTAAGTGTCTTGTATGGCTCAGTGGTGTTACACTCACCACCATCCATTTCCAGAATTCTTTTCTTTTTACAAAACTGAAACTCTGGACCCATTAAACAGTAACTCCCCATGACCACCTCTCTTATCCCCTGGCAAGCACTATTACACGCTCCCTTTTTTTAATGTAATCTTTCCTTTTTCCACATTCCAGCCAATAATGTATTTTGGTATAGAGTCAAATTTAGTATTTGTATTTTCTAGAAAATCATTTTCTTCATTTTAGTCTGTAGTTTGTCTCTACTACTGGTGATTCCAAAGAATTATGTTGTATTTAACACTCTCAATTGGGATCATAGTACGTTAATTTACAAAGAACCAAAATCTTGAGACTCCTTCATAGTGCATGTTATATTTCTACATTTATTCAAAAAGTTTCTGTCTCTGCTATTTTAGAGACCTCATCCTCATGCAATCCAATTTCTAAAGTTATTTAAATTTATGTTAGTTGCTATTGTGAACTTGTATGCTTTCCCATTATAGTAGAATCAAGGGGGAAATAGATTTTGATGATTTATGTTATAATTAGTTACCTTACAAATTCTTACTGATTGCTATAGTTTTCCGTAATCCCCATAGAAGTTATTGAAAGATAATCAAAGGTAGTGGAGGTGTCATATGCTTTTTAAATGTTTTTTATTTCCATTTTTGTCTTCCTATGTATGTGCTAGAATATCTAGAATAATATTTTAAAACATGCTGCCTTATTCTTGTTTTAAATGGGTATGTCTTTTATGTCTTACCAATAAATATGAAGTTAGTGATTTGCCTTGGGTAAGTATTCTTGACCAGGTTAAGCAAAAATCTTTAATTCCTAGTACACTGTATTTTATCTTCCACTGACTAATTAGTATAATGAATTTAACCAATGAGATATTTCCAAAGTAAACTCCTTTAAAATTGAGGGTGTTATTATTTTAATATCTGTCTGGAATCAGTTTGCTAAAATTTTATTTAGGGTTTTTATTTCTGTAGTCATGAGTCCTGTTGGACTGCAAATTTTGCTTTCTAAAGTTGAGATAAGCATGGATTCATTAAAAAAATGAATATGGAAAATTTCCATGTTTTTTAGTCTTTGAAAAGTTAAACATAATAATTACCTTATTTTTATTCCATGGAAATTATAACAGACTTACATTTGGACACTGGTCTCTTCAGTTTTTGCGTTTTCATCAGTCAATTTTAGAAGTTTATTTTTTCCCTATGAGACCACTCATATCCCATTGTAATTATGAGTGTTATGTCACCTTTCTTGCTTTATTTAATGGGAATGAAATATTTGGAATTTTTAGATATTTTGCAGTGATTAGATTTGCTTGAGGTTTGTTCATTTTACTAGTATTTTAAGTGTGCCATATTTTGAAATCTTTTCATATTCATAGTTGGAAATAAAAACTGCTGTTACTTAACAAACATTTACTAATCTATATCATGTATATATTTTTACATGATGTATTTTTCAAATGACATAAGACTAAACTGCTGCTGCTTCTGCTCAGTTGAGTTCATGTGCTTTCTAAAGATCTTGACTTATCTGAGCATTAAACAGCTTGTATGTCAAGCAGTGACAAACAGTGACATTGTGACAAACAGTGGTAGTATTGCACAAATTGATGGACAGCAAATCTGGATTGACACCACAGTTGGATTTGAGATCCACAGATTATACAGATTGAGACAAAAGTATTCAGCACTTTAATGTAGCCATTTCTTTTAATTTCATCTCACTTATAACTATATACAGCAGGGGAAATGATAGTACATTTGAATAATTTTCATTTTTATTTTCTGACCCAGCACTCATAAGTAGCCAGAGATTTCTAGCAGCCAGACAAGGAACAGAAGAAAGTGACTTACACAATTCAGACCATATAATCATTCTCTAAATGATTGTCCTAGTAGGTGTGACCCCAAATTGCTGCCTGGCTAGACATGAGGCAACTGTCTGTTTAGCTCATTCTTCTGCATTTGCAAAACAGCAGTCTCTGAACCAGGACATACAAGGCAGCCAGCTGGCAAAACTAGATAGTCGACTTTCCATTCTCACTTTTCACCTTAATCACCTTAGTCTTTTTAAATGTCCTGTTTGTGAGTATGTTATGATATAGTGATGCATGTAAATACTTTATAACTAAGTAACGACATATATTGATGATATATACTCAAAAATATTTTACTGAAAGGCATTCCTAGGTTATTAGGGACTTTCTGAAAGTTATCTCACTGATAGCAAAGCACACCTTTTTTCTCTCAATACTGGGTTTTAAGGGCTGTATGTCAGGAACTGGAACAAAGACTGAGTAGATCTCTACTACAAGTCACAATGTCACCCTTATTTTCCTGTCTCAATTATAGGTTGAAGCTCCATTCATACCAAAGTTCAGAGGCTCTGGAGATACCAGCAATTTTGATGACTATGAAGAGGAAGATATCCGTGTCTCTATAACAGAAAAATGTGCAAAAGAATTTTGTGAATTTTAATGAGGAGCAACAAGATGACATCAGAGCTCACACTCTGCACTCTATTGAGAGATTAGGTGGAGCTGAGACCGTCCTTCTTGAAGCAGTTACCTAGTTCCTTCATTCCAGCGACTGAGTGAGGTCTATATTGCCATCTCCGTGTGTGCACTTTGCATCCACCTATGTAACAAGGCACCGCTAAGCATTGTCTGTGCCATAACACAGAACTAGACACTTTCCTGCTTCTGTTTGGTTTGTCTTCCCCCTCTGCTCCTACATCCATTTCTTGCCTTTTTATTTTTATTGTTTTTTCTCTAAACAGTGCTCTATTTTATTTTGTTCATGTTTCAGATGGGCAGTGTCAAAGCAATGTGGTATTTGAAAGGAAGGATAAGTGTAGCTTTTGGTAGTTCTTGCCAATATTTTTGTTGGTCGATGGCTTAAGGACGGACCTTTTAATAATAATTTTTCTTTGAGTGGCTCAGACCCGGTTGCCAAAACTTGACAATTTTTAAAGATAGACTGTCTTATCACCAAGTCAGTTTATACAGATTTAAACAATACATTTCCTTAGAACTCACTGTTCTAGGCTTTAAATTTGGATAGGCTAACATAAAGTAGCTAGGCGCAGCAATTTGGAGTCCTATGTTCTGTTTCCCTTTCCCTTTTATCTCGCCCCCACCCCCAAGTAATTAAGTGACCAATCTTTGCAATGAATGAGACAGTGTGTCTCATCATAAGAAAAACTAATGATAAAGTTCACTGTCAACCCGAGTCTCTCTCTCTCTTGGTACCAGCATTTTTGTAGGTATTAGAGAAGAGTTCTAAGATTGCTAAACCTCAACTCTTCCGTGTTTTAGTCAGTATTTTTAATAGAACATGTGACTAAAGAAGTGACAAATTTTAAAATTTCTCAAATAGTCCTTATTGTAAACTTTTTAGAGGAAAAGAAACAAAGGAAAAAGTACAATTATGTGGACAAATACTTTGCTAAGTCAAATGACTTGATTGTTTGCCAACTGTAGATACTTTTATTTAAATGAGGGGTTTCTTTTTGGTTGATTTACCTTGCTTTGTTTGGAAACAGCTAAGAACAAAAGAATTTACTACCAACTTATTATTCTGTTGTACTATAATTATTAGCCTAATGTAGAGGCACTGTTGCAACTTTCTACTTTCACCCTATGCCTCATCCATGAGGAAAAGGGACAAAGTTTATAAAACTGCCACAATTGTATTTTACTTTCATAGTTGATATTTTTAGAAATGTCATCATTTCTAGCTTCTTTTCTTTTAGTAAACAGAATATATGATCATGCAGATACAATTCTAGTGTTTGAGTTTAGTTTTTTTATATACTTTTTTTGCCAACTGACTTACTGCTATCATGTGGAAATTTGAAGCACTTTTGCACATTTAGTTCAGTGTTTTTTGAGAATCGATGGCTTAACTCAGTTTTGTAAGTATTTTTTTCCTTTGCTTTAAATTTTCCCCATCTAATTTTATCTCTTTGTGTCAATGACCTATCTTAAAACAACACACCAAAATATTTGAAACTAAACTGTGTTCATTTTTTATGATCAATTTACATGCATATAAGCTGAGTTGTTTTTACTCAGACTGCTCTTAATGTATATAAATAAGCATTCTGTTTGCTTCATCACTGACTGGTGCAGATAGGTCATTGACTACTTTTCCTCTGTACCACACCCTTGTAAAACCTTTGAAGACATTGAACAAGCTTGCCTGAAATGTTCTCTGCATCAATCTGTATGTCCTTTGGTTGTCAAGTGTTTCTGCATGGTTCCGTCACATAAAGGCTGATAATGATTTCAGTTGGTTCACCTATATTTAAAGTGTGTAAGAAAAATATGAAATACTTTGCGTAGCAAGTTTTATGTAACAGATATATCATGTTAATAAATTCAAGCTGTCATTTGTATAAAATAGTTTCATTAGTTTTTTGTATTTCATTTAGACCCCCAAATATGCTGATCAATGTATTCTTATATGTAGGCTACAAATTCTATGGTAGCTTTGTTGTATATTATTGTAAAATTATTTTAATAAATCACAGGGATGATAATTTGATTATTGCATTTTAGGTTTCAGTAATTTGAAAGATTTCTATGAATTCTCAGCTTTTTTAAATGGAATTATTACTACCCAATACAATTTGCTGTGGTAGATGACCCCCAAGCCTACATTGGTTTTGAAGGCTATTTGGCCTTTCCAATTTACTCAGACATTAAGTGAGCTTTCAGATATATCAAGTGAGACTATTTATAACCAATTAAGTACTCTGAATTCAAACTTTTAAAATTATTTTTTAAACTCTCAACTTCAGCCACAGTCTAGCCAACAAGGTAAAAACTTGAATAAGAAACGAGTGGTGTGGATCAGTATTTAACCTCATATTACATTATTTGCAACAAAAGAAATTATTCCCTTTACTCAGTAAGTAATGAGGGACTGTGGAGGAAAAGTGCCCTACCCAGAATTAAGACAGCTGAGTTTCAGGCCTGATCTGTCCGTTTCAGCCAGATGCTTACCTGGGTCCTGGCTTCTTTTATCTATAAAATTGAGCCTTTGCATTAGGCAGTTTCTAATGACCCATCTAACGTTCAGACATTGTGATGATAATATTTTCATTTGACATTTTGAAAGGATAACATTCTCCGAATTAAATTTCAGTTAAGGCAATATAGGCCACCTTTCTTATTTCTTACAGTGTTCTTAGAATTCTTTGAATATCACACGAATCTTGTGCTTGTCTTGATTCTTTCCTCATTCACTGATGCTAAATATCCAACTGTATCAAACTATCAACCTACCAAAAAAGATATTGTGGCTTGTGGGTATTGCTTGTCTTGTTTTTGATATGTTCTTGTAATGACTGCCCATTGGCCTGAAAATACTCATCGTAAGCCTGAAAAAAAAAATCATTTTTCTTTTCCACTGTTTTTTCTGCTTGTTGTAAGAATCAGATGAAATAATGTATGTATACACTGTATACACTGTAACCTATCAATGTAAAATGTTAAGGTGTGTTGTTATTTCATTAATTATTTCTTTGTTTAGAATGAAATTTCCTATGCACAACAGTAGCTAGGAAATGCTGAAATCAACTGTGTTTTTTAATTAATCGATAACTGCAAAATTAAAGTATCTTCAAAGGTAAAAATCATTTATTGTCTTGAATTCTATCTGATGCCCTTATCACTCAGTTTATATATTTTTTTAAAGATTTATTTATTTATGCATACAGAACTGGGGTATCAGCTAGAGGTGCAGGGGCGGTGAGAGGATTCACCAGAGATGGAGTGGGGAGCAGAACAGGCCAACTGACGAAATACACTGCTAAGAGGAGCAGTGGGAGGCCCAAGAGAGGTCTGCCTCGCCATGTTTTCACCTCGTGGACGGGGATCGAACTCATGCTGAAGTGGCTTTAGCTTCTTAGTGCTGTGCTTTAACCTGCTGCGCCACCAGGGAGGGCCCCACTCAGTTTATTTTTAACGAAACTGCCAGTGCTTCTAGGTTTTAGGTATTGGGGTTGGCAATGAGAATGGTAGTGGGAGCAAGGCAATGAGAAGAATGTCCAGTAGTCTACACCAACTGACTGTCTACTAAGACACTATTAGATTCATCTTACAGTTTCTTAAAAGTTTCTACTCATTCCTCATGCTATTAGTCCAAATTACTTTTAACATATTGAAAATCTAGGATGTGAAGGACTAACACTACAGGGGCCCTCATCCTTATATTAAAGCAATGAACTGCGAATTTTCACATTTTTCTTCACACGTACTTTTGTGCCTCAAAGTACCTCTTCCAGTTGTAGCTATGTTGATTAATGTATTTCTGTAATCCTTTTCGTCAAGAAATCATTTTTAGAGGTAATTTAAATAGCTTACTATTGATGTGACTGCTGTGATTGTTACTGCAAGTGTTTATAAATATTGATGCATTTTATAACATGGTGCTTACTATTTTTATACCAGCACTTGTTCACTTTATCACTGTAAGGGATTAATATAAATTCCAGTTTCCTCATTCCTTATATAACTAATTATAAAACTGAACATATTTCCATTCTAGGACTATCACTACTTAAATCCATTTAAATTTTCTCTTATGTATGAATACTTCATGTGAAGGTTAATATTTCACTTTAAGTCTCCTGAAACTTTCTGTATGATTAACTTTTGTGCTCTCTGATAAAGGCTGAAATGCATCCCACTAAAACGCATGTGTTGGAAGTCCTAGCCAGTCAGTACTTAGACTTAGTACAGTGACTATGGCGGAAGAATTAAGAAAGCAATAATCAACATTAAATGAGGTCATATGGATGGGCCTTAATATGAACAGTGTTAAAAGAAGAGATCAGAACCTGGAGCATACATGTGAAGGTTAAACAAGAAGAAAGCCATCTGTAAATGTAGGGTAAGTGAAGATTGCTCAGGCTTTTGCACTGGTGGCCTCTGTGGCTCTCACCTATATCCTTGAATGCAAGAGGCACTTCTGAGAGTGGGCTTGGGTTGCACATGCCTAGCGGTGGACACCTAGGGACGGTGTGGGCATGCATAAGTGGGCACACCTGAGCCTGGAGGCTGAGCATATAAGAGCAGAAGAAGCCAGTGCCACAGGGAGTGATGGAGAGGCCCTGCGACAATGCCATGAAGCCCAGAGAGTAAAGATTTGCTAGCCTCCTGGCCTCCAGGCTCCCAGCCCCTTCCTGCCTCACTACAAATGGTATAGAAAGATAGTAAAGCCTGAAAAAGCCATTAATGCCTGGTTTCTCCTTTACCTGTCTGCCTGAGTCAATAGAGAACCTGTCCTGTGTGTTGCTGGCACTTAAAATAAGCTAAGGAGAGAGGCCTTAACAGCCGTTTTTCTGATTGACACCTTGATTTTGGATTTCTAGATCTGAGAATTGAGAAAATATGTTATTTAAGCAACCTGGTATAATCACTTTGTGAGGCAGTCCTAGCAAACCAGTACACCACTGAGGCCGCTCCCAGGTGCCTGCTATATTCCCACGGTCAAGGGAGTGCATTGATATCTCTTCAAATGCTTCACACTTCCCCAAAACTGACCTAATTTAGCTTAAAAGCAAAAAAAAAAAAAAAAAAAAGTGTGGTCACTCAATGCACCTGCTATCTTGTTTCTATTATTTCCTGGAATACAAGCAGGCAACAGTAGCTACCGAGAGTGGAGGAAAGCATAGGTAACCGACACCACTACTAACTCCTGGTCACACTTACTCTTGACATCAGGCTAGGCTTTCAAATCAATGCTAGTACAACAAAGTTGACCACACCAGGCTCATGGAGGTTGAAGTCCTTGCACATCTTGTAATGAAGATGTCAATAGGCAAAAGGAAACTGAGGATGGGGATGCAGTTTAATGAAGAACCCCAGTTGGTTTCTTTTTTTTCATCCAGGATTAGCAGTGCTTACAGCAAATGATTATCTTGATGTGTTATTTTTCCACTGCTACTGTAACCATAAACTTAGTGACTTAAAAACAACACAAACAATCCCCGCCTGGTGGTCTAGGGTTAAGTCTCAGCAATATCAATGCTATGAACTGCATTGGAACATCAGCCAGGGAGGAGACCCACATGACCCAACAGACCTCTCCCTGTCTGGCCTGCTACTCCCCTCGGCAGTGTACTTCAGTCAATTTGCCTATGTCTCTGGTGAATCCTCAAACCCCTTGCACCTCTGGCCTACAGCCCCAGTCCTTATACACAAACACACACACAGGCACACACACACACACACAAACATCCCACAAATGGGATTTTTAACCTCATCAAGTTAAAAAGATGTCGGCAGGCCCTCCCTGGTGGTGCAGCAGGTTAAAGCACTGCACTGAGAAGCTAAAGCCACTTCCGCATGAGTTCGATTCCCGCCTGCCCCGGAGGTGACCACATGGCGTGCAGACCTCTCCTGACCCGCCTGCTGCTCCCCTCAGCAGTGTACTTCGTAGATCTGCCTGTTCTGCACCTCACTCTGTCTCTGGTGAAACCTCTCACCGCCCCTGAGCCTCTGGCCTATACCCCAGTTTGGTATGCACATTAAATAAATCTTAAAAAAAAAAAAAAAAAGGAAAAGAAATAAAAGATGTCTTAAAAAAAAAAAAGGGTAAAAGGCTGAAAAATCCACTGAGCGTTCCAGGACTCTCCTTTACCTGTCTGACCATATATCCATAGAGAATTTTCCCTGTGCCTTGTTGGCACAACAGGGGTGAAGGTGTAGAGCAACTGAAACTCATTCACTGGTAGGGGGAAAATAAAGTGGCACAACCACTTTGGCAAATAGTTTAGCTGTTTATTATAGAGCTAATCATTCACTTACCGGTGACTAAATCACTCTACTTCTAGATATTTACCCAAGAAAATAAAAATATATTGGTGTTCCCAGTATTACCACTACTATTCTACATTGTCTCAAAGCCTTCAAGCCATCAAAGTAAGAGAAGCGAGAACAAAGGTGACAGTTATCTCTATAACAAGGGTAAACACTGCTCTGAATAAAATTGTTAAAATTTTCTAGCAACAAATAGTAAGGAACCTCTAAAAATGTATTTCGTGAAGAAGTAAAATGGTTCCAGAGAGTAAATTATATCTGGGAAGTCTAAAGGAGAGAAAAAGTCCAAAATAAACATAATTTAGGAATAAGAAACGACATCGAAACAGAAGAATTTTTAAAAATTAGGCACATTCTGATTAGGCTGGAACTGATCAGACACAGATATTCTGTTCTTGTCTCCCCTCTCCAAACACATTGAACTGATAGAATATATTTTAAAATATATTTAAGGACATAGGCTGCACACAAAACAGAATAAACTTCTCCACAGACCAGAAAAGGAATGGAAATGCATAGTGTTGGGATCTGAGATTTTTATTAGAGTGGAACAATTACAGTGATTGCAGTAGAAAAAGATAAAGAGATTAAATAAAGTTCAGAGATGGTATAATTTTTTTCTTTGAGTAGCTCAAACACACTGAAGATAAAATATGATCCACTATTGGCATCCTCAAATCAAAATTAATGAAACAAATAAGTATTCAGATATCAGTTACTTTTTCACTAAAATAAAGGAAAACTGGATTTATATGTTGAAAGAATAGCCTGTTTTTCAGGAAAATTTGACAGATTTTAATACCATGTCATAACCTGGCAAATATTTTGATTTGCAACAATTAAAATATTATGCATAGAAGTTAATTGACATCCAAGGAGAAGGTAAAATCAGAATGGCTAGAATCAGAATGGCTTTAGAAGTCTCCACAATGATATTCAAGGTCAAAGGACAATTAAGCTATGGCTGTAAGTTTCTGGGGGAAAGAGTACTATCCACGAGTATTCCCATCCAACTTGCCTTTACTTTAAAGGCACAAGTCCCTTTGAATAACCAAAAGAAAGTAATGGACAGCTATGTGTTCTTCACATCCAAATATACATCTCCAAATAAAGAACTGAGCAAAGGAGAAGCAGTGATAAAATCCCATGTGAACACAGAGTCTCTAAACATCATACTAATCAAAAGCAACTGTAAGAGTTACAATTATAGAACCAAAATCAATTATAGAATGAGAGGAGCAAAATCAATTATAGAGGCAAATCTTTTAAAACTTGGCAAAATTAGAAGATAGCAAGCAAAATTGGAAGATGGGAAGGAAATGAGGGAAGATATATATGGCTAGCAATGTCCTTACCTTTTATGGCAGGAAGTCAACTAAAATTAGCACATGTGGTTAACAAGATAATGCCGCTAACTTCTCTATGATTCTTTTTTTCCTCCTAATTTTGCAATTCTTATGTGGAGAAAGAACATTTATCGGCAGTTTTCATTTTCACTTCGACTTCTTTTTCTTGTGTTAAACTTAATTACATTTATTTTTATTTCAGTTTCTCACAAATTGGATTTTATAATAGAAGTAAAATTAAGTTGAAGGTTTTCTATTGCAAAAAATATAACATTATTTTAATATAATTAGTATTGTGTACTAATTGCCCTCTTTATCCCTCTAGCCTCTGTCCCAAGTGTGCAGAGAGGAGAACATGTGGCATTGTCACAGGTGGAATGGGATTTAAGGTGATTTCATCATTTCACCATTGTACTTTGCCAAACTGCTTCCATTCTTCATGATGATGGAGTAAC